TGAAAAACGATTAAATAAGGACATCAGGAAACCGCAAATTACAACTGGTGCTGTGACGGAAAAGATAATCGTACAGAGAGCATGGCTTGTCATGACAAGAATGTTGTAAGTACAGTATTACATAACAGCAGAACAGCAGAATTAGTGGTGGTGGTTAGCTTGTTCGCCATCGGTCGATTGAGATTAGCAGGACGGCATGATCATTGCAGGTTTGCTTGAAAACTTAGATGAGAATGTGTTAAAGGTGCAAATTGTTGGAAAAGGAGTAGTAGGACTACTTAAGGAAATTTTCTAGTTATGAGGGGCGCTTATTCGATAGGGGCGCTTATTCAAACGAGGCGCTTATTTGCGCGAGTACGGTTCTCTAAATATTGAAATGCACGCCATCGTGCCAGCATTTCAGTACTTGGAGTATGTATTATACTTTCTTATCTGAGATAAAATTTGATGGTTTTTGAAGTTTTTAGTGTTTAATGACAGATGGTCCATCTGTGATTTAAGATTTCTGATTCATTTATTCTTTCTTTCTTCTTTATTAAAAAAAAAAACACATCAAACTCGCAGCCTTATGGCTGATTTGCATGATATTTTCAATGAAGGTTCAAATATTTAATTAATCTCTCCCAAATCGCACAATTTTTTTACAGTGTAAAGGTAATCTGAACTGATAATCACAGATAATAATTAAAAATTGTTATTGACAGAAAATTGGGATGAATGGAACGGTGAGAATGTTGATGAATATGGTGGCGAAGAAGATGAAGAAGCCACGCATTGTGAAGATCCGTCATTTAATGTGAGTTTTACGTGGTAATTTTAAAATGATTTTACCCTGTGTGTAGTGCGTGTGTGTGTAGACATTTATGCAAATGCGCATGCGTCAAAGAAATGTTTTCAGACATTTTGTTTTACCTCGCGATGCGAAGTTCGATGTGACTATTTAGCTTAGGCTTTCCACAAAAACATGAGGCCTAGGCTAGGCCTAGTTTAGTACAGTAGTTACTGCGATGCGAGGGTGGTAGATCGTTTAATCAATGATATCGTGTTATCGTCTAATACATTTAAATAATGTGTGTAAAATTTAAGAATGCACAGCGTGGGTCGCTTTCTTTGTGATGCGGTAGTGGTATACGTAGCAGAGTGACGGCAGCAATCTAAGCCTAGCCTAGGGCCTAGATAGTATACGTTCTTCATCATCGTAATGAAAACTTCAGGTGACAGACGATTGGGCCCAACTGGTGTGGACGATCGGGCCCAAGCTATTTTCAAATAAATTATAGTCTAGTAGGCCACTGCCAGCTCCTCCACTTCCAATATCGTTCCAAACTACTTTAAAATGAAAATACTGTATACCTAGCTAGGCCTAGCCCCTAGGCCTACGAAATTTTTTCAAAGAAATTTGATAAAAATATTACTGTAATTTGCCTATCAAATTACATTACCAATCTGGTCTAAAATCACTATTTTGGGCCATAAAGACTCCCCCTGAATTTTTCAACCACCACACAAATTTGACTCAACCATATTTTCTGATTATGTCATTTATGATGTCTTAATCAGAAAATATGCTTGGTTAAGTCATGTATCGTTCATAGGAACTTTGGCACCTGCAAGGCTCTGGTTTTAGTTTATATAGTTAGTTCCTAGAATATGAAGTTAAGATTATATTACTTGGGTACTATCGGCTGTGTTTCTTTTTTAATCAAGTACCTTCCTTTGATAATTTCTTTGAAATGGATTTGTTCTGTATCCTTTTTAAAAAACAAGATGGATGCCGATTATGTCCCTCCGTCAAGGACGGACTTTAGTGAAGAGATGGCAGAGATCACGGGTAAGAAGAAGAGACGACGAGCTTCAAAGTTTGCGCAGGCTGTTGGTCGCAAGAAGCCAGTGTTCAACCCAGGTAATATTTCTGTTAATCTCAATTTTTTTTTTAAATTTCATTTTGTCATTTTTTTCAAATGTTGAAAGTGCGGGTGGGTCCCTGGAACATGTGGGCGGCCATAATACGGCTCCAGTATCAATATGTCCTCTTTTAAATAAATTACCATAGTTGCAATTTAGACAATATATAGCACACTCTGTATCATTGACACATAAAGTAATATCATAGTGGTAGTTTTTTTCGTAGTACTCGCATACTCTGAAATGTTTATTAACAAATTCATAGATTAGTATCATGTACCCTATACCCTGTTCCTTGTCCTCTGTAACTTATACTTTTTACTGTGTAATTTAGATGAAGGTGCTTTTGATGCCTACATAGATGAATACTATAAGATGGACTATGAAGATGTCATTGGAGATATACCGTGTCGCTTTAAGTACCGAAATGTAGTTGCCAATGACTTTGGCTTGACAACAGAAAGTATCCTGAATGCACGTGAGAAGGAACTGAACCAGTGGGCGTCACTGAAGAAGACCTGTCAATACAGGTAATGCTCTTGCAGAATTTATTTTTTAATTAAAGCATATTTAGACAGGATGCAATTTCAGACAAGTAGTAACAGTCTGTTTTTTAAATGGTCATGTTTAAATGAATACAATTTAGAAGAGCCTTACTTTCAAAAATGATAATAGCTTAATCTACAACACAGAATAACATTGAATTTTGTTAAAATACATTGACAAAGATCACAAGGAAGGTAATACAATGGTAGACATCTTAATGAAATATTAAAATAACAAAATTCAGTAGTAAAAAGATTATTCAAATTGTTTTAAGAAATATAAACATCTTAGTCAGAACACATATACAATTATAAGAGTTGTTGGAGGATTTTTTTAAATACACATGAACATATTAAAATATTCTTTTCATTGCACTCGTAAACATACATGATTTGTTTATTAATTGCATATATCTATATTATATCTATATACAATATTGTATACTTTTGGGAAAAAAATCCATCATCTGTATTCGTCTGTAGTTTACATCCTGCTTAGTGCGATTTCATTTGATGACTGTTGAATCTTTCAATTGATAAATTATGATCTGTGGTGCTATTCTTTGATTTTTTTGTTTTATTATTTGTAGGAGAATTCAGAATCTGAATAGTCCTTAACAGATCATTGTATTACACTCACCAATAGTAGCGGTATTGCTTTACTGATAAAAATAGAAAAATTATAATTTCATAGATTTTTTTTTTGTAGATTTCTAACATGTAACTATGGCACATGTGAATTTTATCCATGTAGCTTTCGTTTCGAAAGAAACAAAACCAGTTTTCTGATTTACCATGCATTTGGCATATCCTGGGAGATTATTTTACCTACTAAGGAAGTGCGCCGCCAGTGTATTCACCAGGCCAATGTAAACACCGAAAGTGGTCCATATGGTATATCATAAGATGCCTGTGATATATTACAAAACCAGAAGAAAGAAAGCCAAAGCTGTTTTGATACACAACATTTTTATCTTACAGGTCAGAAGAAGAAGAATTAAGAGATGTGAAAGCTTACAATGCTAAAGCAAAGTATTCAGACAAGATGAAGAAAATATTTACAAGTTTGTATTCAGAAAAGTAAGGTTTTTTTTTTTTTTTTTAAATAGAATCCACTTCTAAAGAGGATTTTGTAGGTATCTGGTATGCCTTTGGCTAGCCCTGGAGCTGATAATAGCTATAAGCAGTTAATAGATTGCATGTAACAGTATTAGCAATCAAAACCACAGGTATTACTGGGCGATTTTTGTTCATAGCTACGGTATTACATGTGTGACTAGTGTAAGACTGTCTATGTGTGATAATTGTAATGTTGGCTATGTTTGGCAAACATCTTTTATGACTGTCTATGGTGCTCCACTCCTGAAATAAGGAAAATCTCTTCAGACCATTACTACAAATGTATGGTAATTACACTTGCTGGACTCCAAATGTTGTTTCAAAAGCGTTTGTTAGTCAATAATCAATCATTATGAAGTAGTTTATTGTTAAGAAAATTATCAATATATATAATTTAATTATGTTTTTTTTTTCTGTTATTTTTCACAAAAATTCTGTTCAATTTTCTTCAGAACTGGAGAGCTTGAAGAAGAAAAACCTCAAAGGTGCAAAGCGTCAAATCCAATTGAACCAAAACAGCAAGTTAAAACATTAAATTTGTTGCCGAAAATAGCTACTTCGGAAGATACTGAGAAATTTCACAGAAAAGAAATAATCAAAACAGAGCATAAAATTATGAAAACTAAAAAACCCCCAAAAGAAAAAGAGACAATCATGAATACACCTAAAACGGAAAATATTGTAAAAGAATCTGCTATTCGTGCAGCTGAATTAAAAGAAAGAAACAATTTCAGTGATAGTGTTTCTAAAAAGAGCAAAAAAGCTATAGAAACCAAATTGAAGAAGCGAAAAAGTATGTCCAAATCACAACCAGAAGTTCGAAATTTTGGTCAAATTTCTGGAAGAAAATTTAAAAAGGGGTTCAGGAATAGAACCTCAAAAGTGCCAGAGAGGAATATCTTACGAGGAAGAAATGCAGGATCAGTAGGGAAAAGGAAGATTGGTAATTCAGGAATTGAGGTTTCAGATGCACGTCTTAAGGCATATGGAATAGATCCAAAGAAATACATCTACAGAATGAAATTCTTGGCAAAACTGAAATCCAGAAAAGAAAAATTGCAAAAGAAGTCAAAATCATAACTTGTATGCAAACATCTTCATCAGCAATAGATACAGAAGAGTTGTTGCAATCAATACATCCCTCAATCCTACTTTGGTATTGTTTAGATAGGTAAAGCATTCACCATGAGCATTAACTGTGTCGTCGCTATGAAGTACAGCATTAGCTTGGTGGTTAAGGCGCTTGCCTTCCAATCTCAGGATCTAGGGTTCAAATCCTGTCAAGCATCAGTATTTTCCTTACAACCAAGAACAACTGCACTCTTTAAGCCTAATGGAAAGAAATACAACCTTTGACCCACGTCCCTACACTATTTACAAAAACAAATAAATGGTATTGCTTGATTTTACTTACACATATTTATATATTCATATTTTATATGTAAATATTGCTTAGTGAAAAACAGGTTGTGTCTTGTTTAATCACATTTAAACAATTTTAATTAATTTAGAAAACACTACATATTTGAAAAAATAAATCTGACCTTGAGCAGAAGTTGTCCCATCTACAGATATTATCAGAATGTGTTGTTGATTTTCTCACAACATTTTTAATAACAATTGCGATGAATTTTAAACAGCCCTGTAAATTGTGTGCTGATTGGTATAATAGAAGTACAATATAAAACAAATTGGCACATACAGTATTAGATATCACATTATCAAATATTTATTTCAATATTTTTCTAAAAAACAAATCATTTTTACCCTCAACGTACAATAAAGAACATAAACGGCATGGTGAGTACACAAGTGGCTTATTGCAATGAAAGTTATCTTGTACAGTACAGTATGTATAGGTACTGTGTGCCTGCAGATATTTCTAAAGGAAACTTTGGTGTTGTTTAAGTGCACATAACATTGCCAAATTATTCTACCGCATTACAGAATTAGCTGGTTTGGTTTGTTGGTGTATTATAAATATTTCAGATAGTTATAAACCTACCTACAAATATGAAACAGTAATAATATGGAACAATATACATTTCACAAAAGTTCAGTGCTCAGGAAAAATGTTTTGATATGTTGTAAAACTGATTTTTGTAAGAAGACAAGCAAAAGTTGTTTGATGAAAAACTGGAGAACGGTGAATGAGATATAGATTTTTGAATATCAAAAAACTGGGGGAAAATGGAAAAAAAAAAACCGCCCCTTTTTCCCCCCAGTTTTTAAATATTCAAAATTCTGTATCTCATTCACCGTTCCCCAGTTTTAGTTTTTAAATATTCAAAAATCTATGTTATTCACCGTTCCCCAGTTTTAGAAAAACCAGCTCTACAAAATATCAATTTTTTTTCCTCCGGAGCCTAATTATTTAATTAGTTAAAGAGTATTAAAATACAGTAAATGAGTGGAATATTTAAAAAAAACCCCAAATTATTTTACTTTGAGGTTTTTAAAAAGTGAGTATCCATCCCAGTAGAGCTGATCATTAGAACACTCATCTTAGTAGGCCAGCAATTGATAACGTCAGGGAGCAGTATCCTGAATGACCTACTGACCTACTGAGTAACAAGCAAATTGCCACATTCCCACTTCAAGCTTTGTCTACACTATGAAATTTTAGGTGACAAAAAAATGTGATTTGCCCATATATGGGTACTATGACATCACATATCATCAAATTGTATCAAAATAAGTTGAACGTGTTCAACTCTATGTTCCATCACATTTTATACTGATGCTTTTTTGATGAAATTTGATAGTGTAGACAATGCTATGCATGGCTAGAAGAAACTCCAAATAGAAATCGTGGGATTAAAATACATACATGAACATAATATCTTACCCCATATGGTGCTATATTGACAATACCTGGTTATATAACAATACTAGCAATAAATGTACACAGTATCTGCAGTAACAAATAATAATAATTGGAATGTCAAAATGATAAATAGGAGTCTAGAGAAACCCAAAGGTTTGTACAAGTGAGACCCTCCGCTAACTAGACTACTAATAAATGTAATGAGTGTTATAAATGCGAACATATAAAAAGATTTCCATCAACATATGTGGACACACAATATCCATCAGTTCAGTGTTTTCTAACTATATTCTTTGCTAGTATTAAGCAATAGTCACAGTTTATATTTCGACCTGTGAAATACCTGTAGTCTTAGTAGTTTGAATCTGATTTCGTCCTCTGCCGCATAACTTCTTCCAATTTAATTTCACCTGAAATTAACAAAACTACTTCAGCGTATTATAGACTAAGTAATACTTGCTGATAATGATAATAATAATATTGATAATAAAATAATAATAATAATTATTATTATTATTTTTATTATTATATGCGCTAAGTCAGACTTAAGGGGAATATCTTTTGTTATTTTCCCCTTAAAGTCATGTTATTTTTCCATTAACGTCATTTTTTTTAATTGTCCTCTAATTTGTCCATTGTCTATGTTCCCTTTAAGGTAGGTTTTAGTAACATAATAATAATAATAAATAATAATAATAATAATAATAATTTATCATAATTTATACCCTGTGTAGGAGATAAATTGCATATAACGACCAAGGACAATTTGAATGTTAAGTAATAATGGTAGGCTTGCCACAACTCTCTTTTTTTTTTTTTTTTGCTCATTCAGGACTAAAGAGCAAGTAAATTTAGAGATCTAATCCGAAAAAAATTAATTGAGTATGGGTACGCCAATTAAATTAGGTATGGCACGCACTAAGCGCAATAAAGTGTGGGTAACCAAACATTGGGGTTTGGAACCTAGGCTATAATAATGGGTACACGTTTGTATAAGCCAATTCATAGTTTGAACTGCGGATGCCTGTATCAAGGTCAATCGATGAAACGCAAGATTAATTAATAAAAATTTAATTTCAAACCTCAGTGTCCAGGAGACAATAAACGATGAATATGAATACGCCTTGAAATGAGTTGAATATCACAAAGAGATATTGCATAAAGACAGAGTCCTCGTTCATTGCCAAAGGGCCAAACATCCACGTCCCACCGTTTATAGGCATCAATAACAGCGCCCCCTTGATTGCTTTCCTGTTTGATGAGATTACATTTGTCAACAAAAAGTTATCATTATAAACACAAGTACAGAATTAATATTAATAAATATTGCCTTCATAAATTGGAAAAACATTAAAGTTTATAATAATTAAACAATATTTTTAAGCGATGCTTAAGCACATCATTTTAACGTATTAAGTAACTGAACGTTGTACTTCAAGTTCAGGAATAATCATGCTTATAAAATAAACCGATAAACATTGAAACTCACTTGAGTTGTTTGTACTCGTGTTGCCTGGATGCTTGGACGTTAGTTCCCGACCGATGATGAATTATTCGAACTAACATCACAAGCACTATTGTGTTGAGCTAATAAGAAAAGAAAAGCAACCGACTATAAATCAAAATTTAACTTTAGTTTTTAAGAGATCCTAATTTCTGCATATTAACAGTGAAAAATAGATTGGTCATTGCTATTCTCTATCCCAGAAAATGAATAAATAATAATTTGTGTAATCGTGATCCAGAACTTTTTCATCCAAAATCACCAATACCACTTCACTAAATTTTATAATGATCAATTTGGTTTTTTTTTCCCCTAAATAATTCTCCTTGGTGGAAATAATGATATTTTGTGTTCTAGGGCCTACAACTAAATTCTGCTAGTCTCGTATTTAATTGAAACTTACCAAGACAATAGCAGCAGCTGGAGCAACAACTAACCAGTTGACATTTGAGTCAAGCCAGCAACTACATTGCAATGAAAAAGAAAAAAATGTTTGAAAACACAGAAGTAGGATGCCTTTGTTGTCGTACCAAGCTATCTCTGTCAAGTTGGTGAGTCTGTTGAGTTATGGATGAATAACTTTGAAAACTAAAAACGGACCATGGTCAATTTTCACTAGGAACTCTTTGCTGAGGATAGTGATTCGCTCCTCTCTCCGTTAAATAAGTCAAACTGGCGAGAGTTGAAGTCTTTATTTGTGAAGTAAAGAGGCGGCCGATTTATCTGCATAACAAGTAGTCAGTGAATAATTATTGTTAATCCATTAAACTTAGGTAAGCTTAAAATGTTATTTTCTGGCTAAACAACAAAATAATTTAATAATATTTACCAACAGACCAGATAGATTATATTTTAAGTAATGTTATAAATGTACAATTCAACCAATTCATAAGAAAGAAAGAATATAATAGGTCTACATACATTAATTTACGCAGAAATCTGTAAGTGATTGCTAAACAGTTCTCTATTCGCGCTTACTTACTAAGTATTTCCGTACACATCATATTCAAATATGGCGATCGGCACGACAATCATTATTGGTGCCGAGTAGCAACATATCATATAATTTCTCAGTCTGTTATGTCGGCTTGGCGTTGTGTACATCACTTTAAAGACGAGAAACACAGCTTCTCCAAACATCCAGAAGAAAACTGTCATCAGAAATAAGTGAAGGGTCATTGCGATGGACTTGCATGTTATCTGTATGTGCAGAATATAAAAGCAAAATAGTATCAAAGTCAATATATTTATAAAGTGAAAAACCTTACACTACAAGTGTAAATATACCTGTGATACATTGATCGGGTTGTTGGTGTCTTAATGGTTGATTGATCAAATTATTGAATGATTAATTGATTGATTGGTAATCTTACGCACACTGTGCCACTATATAGCCTACTAGTCTACGAGTTGTATATGAAGAATCAATCGTCAGGATTTATACACCAAATTTCAATGTGTGTAAAGTGACCAATGGATTGATTGATCATCTTTTTTTCGTGTCTACAAGTGATGACTCAAAGATATGTATATTACTTACAGGGTTGTCAACCTTGTCAATACCCACAAGAAAGATGACGTCAAAGACAATCAGATTGAACACCAGGTTCTTGTGTATGTTGTTACGAAGAGACTTCCATAAATCTCTAGGGGAAATTATGTATATTTAGTAGTTTATTGTCCCATTGGTAAGTATATTAATGTGAGGTGGCTGTATATCAATGTATCATGCCCTATGGGGATGTTAGTCATCTTTTTTTCTCTTTAGTTTTCGAAAGGATGATGCCATTTTAAATGATTATTACGTGACGTAGACGAGCTCTCTACACGCCATCTTTCAGATTCAGATTTTATTCAAACATTGCATGATGCAGGTTGTTTTTTTAGTCTCTCTTTCAATCTTTTCTGATTCTGCTGAATTTTGACCTCGTGTTTCATCATTGGCCGAAACATTTAATAACCGCCCAATGTGGAACCTTATCTGATGAGTCTTTTCTCATATAAAATGTCACTACTGTATATGGCAAACCCCCGTAATTATTGCATATCGGAAATTTTATGGGATTTTAACGAATTCAGACTCAATTGCAATGAAACAGCCTCATACTGTGGAATGACGTGCTTACAGTTTACTTAACATTATTATATAATTTAAAATCTCACTTGAGTACAAGAAACACGACCTCAGTGACGGTTAAGAGCACGATTGAAAGAATGACACCAATTGTCGAAATAATTGACAGAGCCTTCCGTGTCTGGTTTTCTGGCTAAAAAGAAGCAAACAACATCAGATATGAACAATTGGGCATATAATATACAAAAAAAATTAAAAATTATCCCCACAAAAAAGTAAATATTAAATATACAAAATATATACACACTAATGGAATTGACATAATCAATCATTTCTATTTAATATATGATTATTGCTATCGTGTCTATTCTAATGGTACGGTACCTCGTAAGATGTGACTTGCATTAGAACCCCGAAGCTTGTCAGGTGATTACAGCTACAAACAGCTCTGGTGGCGATGATTTCTATTAAATTGCACCCGGATGTTGACCATTCTCTTAGAACACAATGATACATAATTATGTACATGTATTCGTCATACATGATACAATAATTATCAGGTAAAATAAGCCTATAAAGTGGGTTCTACTATCAAACACTTAGTGGCGGCGGCGCCGGGGGGGGGGGGGTGTGCAGGGGATTAAGGCCCCCCCCCCACCAGGTCAAAGCTCCCCCGCCGGATAGAGCTCGTCGGGCAGTCAGGCCATAAAACATATAAAAATAGCCCACACCAAGCCAACACAATCATGTCTGTCACAGTCTGAGAGTGCCATTTTCGGCCATCCAGAGGTTGATATAAAAAGAGGTTGATATAAAAAAAATCTCATTTGGGAGGGGAAACCCCCCCCCTCTCAAAAACTCTTCCTCTAGCTCGAGCCTACTAGCTCAAGTCCCCCTGTCGGACAACTTATCCCCCTTCCCCAGAAAATATATCCTAGAGCCGCCACAGCAAACACTGCCATGTAACATGGCTAAATTTCTTCATCTTCTGTGTAACTTTTTGATACTAAGGTGTAACGTTTATTGGTACAGTATAACTATATAACATACTATTGTTGTAACCTTACTGTATTTTCTTTCATAACTGATGTAAGATTGTTATTTTATTTTAAATCATTTTATACACTAGGCAGGTTTATAAGGCCTAAACTAATTTTAAATGTTTTAATATCAATATCATTGTAGTATTATGGCCGTAAATTTTTATCCATTTTAACTATAAACTAATTAATAATTTTTCACAACTAGCAGTGTTATTTCCTTCTTTGGATGAATAAATATTACTTGGATTTTGAATAAAGAAAAGATTAAATACTGGACTTACTTTAAATTGACATCAATGAAGCCACATACTAATGTAAGATTGAAGTCCTTGGTTTCTTGAGATTCTATCAGCATTTGCTCGATATCTATTGTCTGTCAAAATAGTTCCTCGACATGTATTTCTTATTACTATTTGGTTATTTTTTATTTTTTTATTTTGCAATATTTAAGAGTATCTGTATCGCTAATTCCAACAATGGCGTATTATTTCTGTATCAGCATTGGCGTATTGCTATCCTCAAGATCCTGTTGTCACTTTGACCTACTAATTTTTATTTTAGCATTTCACATTTCTTTAGGCCTATTTCTAATATTAAGGTGAATTTATTATTAATCAATTTCTCATACATATAAGGGCATAAAACATACATCATTATCCAATAAAATGTGAATGTATTATAATAAAAATGCATGCGGTATGCCTACTTCTATCTCAAATTGAACATTTGGGTAAATCTCTGTCCCGTTCTCAGTGTATGCTGCTATGGACAGCAGTCGTGATTTAAGGTAGTACATTTGGTTTCTGAAAAAAAATCCGATAAAATTAAATCCATAATTTGATATTTTGTTATATGGTGTTTATATAGCCTATAGTCTATTCCTTTACGTTACGCAGCGATTTGTTTCTCCTGGTCATTGCGTCAACATGCTTAAGTGTTGTTGCCATATTGAGCGTTTGTAAATTTCATCTAAAGTATTTGAACTCATTGTTACTGCAGTTGATGGTCATAACATCACTTACCTGTCAATGTGGGTGTCGTTGGTATAGTTATAATCCAAAACACATGCAATAATGCTTATAACTGCGCCTGAAACAACTATTGAAAAACGGATAAACTCTAGAAAATGAAGTATAATCACAATATAATATTTATAGTTTAGTGTACAGTGCCGTATTACCTATCCGTATACTAAATATCGATGTATAAACATGGTTTTTAATCACCAATACTAACAAGAAAACAATTTCATAACTATTTCTTGAAAATTTAAAGCACATTATTGAGGTATGGACTCTAAACTGACATATTGAATAATCAAATAATCTGTCTGAAATTTTGATTATCAAATTATACAGTAGCACCCACTATCGACACTCCCTACCTTACATCCCCACCCCCCTCCCGCAGGCTGCAACTCAACACTTCGGCTAGTGTAGCAGCTCCCACTCCCCAGCCTGCATCTACACTTCCTCAAACAGTCCCACGTTCCATACTGCAGTAACTCTTCTTCAGATTCAGTTCACTCCACAAGCTACAACTCCAGAACTTACTGCTCCATTACCGCCTAGCCTGGTAACGTTCTACACCACCAAATACAGTGCCAAATCATCATCATACAGCTCATCACCGTACGGTACATATCCACTCCATCAAAACCTGCTCAGGTACAACTACACTACAAAATCTAACCTATTACCGAATCATAAAATTAATAACCTTTTCAAGTTATCTTACCCGTATTAAATTCCAGATCAATTGAGACATTTTTTAAATCCACCGAAAACGAATAATTTTTCCACGAATTTAAGTTTAATTTGGTAGCAACCAACTCTATAAAACATCACAGAAGTGCCATGCAACATTAAAAAAATCATTTAATAAGACGTTTATGCTTTTGCTTTCCCCTATATTATGGAAATGAAGGCTGCCTAAACAACAAAACGAAAAAAAAAAAAAACCAAACAAAAGGTTTTAATTATTTCAATTTCAATTTTATTTAAAAAACCCCTCAAAACAACGAGAAAACAAAATATGCTACAATACATTTCAATTAATACCAACAAGTTAATTATCAATTTTTGCATTAATCCACGATGAATAAAAAGTATAGCCGCGTTAGTCTGTACAGTATAGAACAATATAAAGTAAATAACAGCAGCACTTTGAGAATAATAATATATTGTTTGTCTCACTTTTGAGACTAATAATATATTGTTAGTCTCACTAATTATATATTGTTAGCCTCAAAAGTGCTGCTGTTATTTACTTTATATTGTTCTGCATTAATCCAATATTTAAAAACACTCACAAAACAATGTTAAATAATAATTTTGATAATAGTGAAAGAAAATCGGCCTTTAAGAGTACCGGTATATGATAAAATTACAAATAGCAATAATTCTGATGGCAAAAACAACAGCACTGACAATAGTAATAACAAAATTCACACATTGAGTCAAAATAGTCGAAGCAACTTCAAGTAGATTCTATTTTAAGCCTTGGAACCTGGAGTCTAGTTGTCATGTAACGAAACATGATACAAGTGGTGCAACATTATTATTATCTGTTGAAGTATCAGTATTATTATAGGTAATTAGTATCGTATTATAGTATTATTATCAGTAAATTCAAACTAATTTATATAGTTATAAATTACACTTACCTATTTTAGGAAAAGATATCTTATAAAACTCTTCGTCGATACGAGAATATAAGTTGATGAACAACATGTCGGTAAGGTCGGCCATATTAAATTCGGTCTTAAAAATGTATCAAAAGTAGGCTATGATACATAACAAGAAAATATATATATATATATATATATATATATATATATATATATATATATAACATTTTCTTTCCTTTCTTTTTGATCACCATGCCTTATTATATTATTACATTATTTTTCACATGTTTATTTTTGTCATATCTCGGCTACTGTTTGATTTTCATTGTTATTTTTTGGTTTTTGCTTTTAATCACTCATACCTATTTGCGATCTAGACCTTGACATAATTTTTATTGATTTGTGTATTTTGGCCTATCTTTTTTATTTGATTTTTAAAATTTTTTTATTTAATTTAATTTTTAAAATTCATTTATCACATTCGTGTATTTTTATATTTCGGAATAATCAGTTTAAAATGGACAACACGTACTGCTCCTAAAAAGCGTTTAGCAATCATAACATGTTCGTTATTCATTCGCTGCCATAAAGAAGTAAATTATTGATGTGATACCGTAAAAAGTACACTGGATTTTAAAAAAAATAATCTGAAATATGTTGATCGATTGGATTCAATCAATATATAATAAACTCATATCTATCATATTTTTGAAAATAGATAAATGAAAATACAATACCACAACTTACCATTTCGTTGTTGATGGTTAATGAATTATACGCTGTTTCCACAAGGTCATGTACTTTAATAGAACCATTCTTTTCATATTCTAAAAAAGGAAACCAAGAACAATTACGATGTTAATATTCTCGTTGTATTTCAGTAATGTACAGTACCGTATTACCAGCATTTGACGTCTTAACCTCGTGTATTATTGCAATACGTCTTTAAGCGCATTTTATTTTCCTGTTTAATGACTTAAATAAAAACACGTCACTTAAATTTTAAAGGTCGTCATACCATGATCAAAGTGATGTATTATTTTAGAAGAAAGTGCATGACTTCTAAAATAGTACCAATAACTTATCAATAGTCGTTCAGATGCTACAAGGCTTTAACGAGTATAGAAGTAGAAAAATAGGGCTTAGGCTTACATCTTTATAGATTTACTATTTGTCATACTTTTGAAAATTAACTAAGAGTTGCTATCGTTTCTTGTTGCATCTGCAGCTCAATATCACGGAATTTTGAACGTCTAGAAATTATTCATTTGATTTGATTTATTTAATATACTCTTTTTATAAAAACATAACTAATAAACATGAAACTGATCAGATCACAAAAGAGCATATCGAAGATAGTCCTAAATTTTCAACAGACATATTTCTATATAGGTCTTCTAAACTGACGTAAAATGAACAGGCCTACATTAAAAAAAGCTAAATTGAACATTATCGAACAATATTTAACGAGTACCTAATTATTTATCAAAATATTGATAATAAAATATGAATAATAACATTAACATATACAATATATATAAAACATATAAGTAGGCCTATGCAGAAATAAATATATGTAAATCTGTATCTTATTTATTCAATTTATAAAATTATTTATAGCATTACGGTTTAGAGTTACCTATATTATATCATGATATATATATGTATATATATGCATATATATATGTATATGTATATATA